CTGACATCGGGTATGCAGCTCCGAGGTGACATACTGGTGTCATGCAATGCTGATAGTGACGTGAGGGTGAGTTTTTTGTGAAATTTTTGCGATATCTACGCTGTCTCATGTATTCATAAACGCAATGTAGGTATGGAATATTCGCGATGGATCCTGCATGTATCGTCTTCATGGTCCCAACGGTCACACGTCAGCCATTACTTCGCTGCAGTTTCTTGACAATGGTATTGTGGTAACCAGTGGAGACGATGGAGCTGTCAAGCTTTGGGATGTCATGAAAGGTAGTGCTCTATTTATGTGCTCACGATACTTGTCATATACGGTTCCTGTTTAGGTGAATTTATTCGTGATCTCGTGAGGCTTTCATCTGGAGGTAGCGGTGGTTGCATTTGGCGTCTCAAGGCTACCAACAATCTTCTCGCTTGTGCTGCTGGGTCTAGAAATGGCACTGAGGATACCAAGGTCATACTGTTGGATTTTGACGCTGGATATCCATGAAGGCAACAGGTGCTTCTACTCAGTGAATGCTTTTTACAATGTTCTCCTAGGAATGGGTTTGCTTTTTATGGTTAAAATAGATCTGGGCTTTGATCTTTCGCATCATTTTGCTGTGCAAGGCAATGATGATAATATTATCTATTATCCGTGGTTGAATCATTCTTTCATCGCTGCCTTATGCACTGAGGTTCTGTTATCTGTGAGAAATTAGTGCTGGTAGTCCAATCCAGTTCTCATGATTTAAGTCACTTTGCTCCTACGGATGCTTAATTCATTTATTTTTGCAGAACTTAATCTTTTCACAAATTGTTGTGTTCGCATCGCTAGTTGCGCTATATGTATCGTTCTTGCGACAGTCACTAATTTGCCAATCTGCTTAAGTCATCCGTTCCCATTTCCGCGTTTTCTACATTCTTTTGGTTAATTTTTACTAGGTTTTGATTTTTTTTGTTTTTTCTCTCACTAACCCAGTTTTGACAATGTTTCTAGTCAGTGCCTAACCACATTATTCACAGTACTATGTTCTTTTCTGTCTCCAGTATACTCTAATCGAACGACAGCTGACCATC